TACAGGTTTTGCAGACTTGTTGTGATATAACATAATAAAACTGGAGCTTTGTTTTGTCTCTTCATGAATATGATTTGATATGTGGTTTTTACAACTTATTTATTTATGATAATAAAATATCTTCTTTCAATATATAGTGAACAGACTTGAAAAATAGGCCTTTTCTTTCTATTGAAAGTATATTAGTTAGGAAAATGAGTTTTTGGAAAATAAAACCACAGAAAATAAAATATACTGCAAGTAGAACAGATTTAATAGGATCAATAAAGTGTTCATATCCATACTTGGTTTTGATTTTTCTAGTTTGATTTGATGAAAAGAACTGTCTTCTTTAGAATGTAGTTACAAAGTATCTTGCAGGGAGTTGTAGTATTAATCAGGGCAAATTTCAGAGCTCTCTGGCTTTTTTAAGGAGTTTATTTTCTGGTTGGTGGTTTTTGGTGGTTTTTTTGGTGTTTTTTTTTTAAATTTTGTTGGTTTTTGGTTTTGTTTGTTGTGTGGGGTTTTTTTTTGTGTGTACGGGGATACGGTTGGGCTGGGTAAGAAAAGGAAATGCAAAGATACTTAAAATGTTTTAGTTATACTTATCCTTCTAAGACAGACATGTTCCATGTTTGGTCAACTGAAGCATGTGATTTCTGTTTATGTAAACTCGGAATGCCTTCTGGCTTCGGAAGTACAGATTATCTTTTTTTTTTCCCCTAAGATAGAGTACTAATGATGATTTTATCATGAAAACTGAGGGTTTTTTTCAGCTTCCATGGTCTCAAGAGGTAGGTTTTATCTGGCATGCTCTGTACATGTTGTTTCTGAGCACATCAGGTTTTGTGGTAGAGTCATTTTGCCCTACGTGACTAGTACTGCTCCGTTTGCTTGCTATTAGCTTGCTGGATACTGATAGATTTGTCTTCCACGACTGTTGTTTGAAAACATACTTTTTGGGGAGATTTTCTGTTGCAAGAAAATAGGCTTGATGGCAAGACAGTCTGGTATAATTCCCAAATATAGTTATATATTTTAACAGTAAAAACCTTTCAGTGAAAAAGAAGAAAGGAAAAAAAGTAAGCAACCATGAAAGCAGAGCTACTGTTGGTTAAAATAGAAGTTTTGAGCCTCGGCTGCAAGGTTACTGTGTGTTTCACATATGAAAGTTTCTTTCAGATGTGGTATTATCCAAATGACAATGAAAGTACTCAGCACTGACATATTGTAATGGTGTCTATGCGTTTTTTCGTATTATGATCGTAAGTTAAAGTAAGAAGTTTGGTTTTGTGTCTGTCTTCTTTACTATCCATTAATGATTAATGGGAGATAAGAAGGAAGACAATTTACAGTGAATACACTTAACTGCAGGTTCTCGTGCAGTTGAGTCATGCGTTACTGTGCTGAGTTTAATTTGATTTCTTCAGTTTTATTTAAGATGGCTGTGTACAAGTAAGGTATACTTACTTTCGCCTGAAATACATGCATCAGTTTAAGTACCAGAATCTTAAAGAAGATGCAAGAAGAACTATGTGACAGTGCACGCAAAGTGTTTGGTTAGTAGCATTTACCTGTTTTTAATTCCTTCTTTCCATTGTTAGGTAGATGATGGCGAGTAAATTTGATGATTAGGTGGCTTCCTACTGTAGTATGAAGTTCCTGATATTTGTGTGAAAATGACAAAGAATTCCTCTGAGAGAATATAAACAAGGGAAGTGGGACAGGTAGTGAAGGGGATTTTTATTTATTTGCTTATTTTTGAAACAGATGACATTTTAGGTTTCTCCTCCCCCAAAGCGGCGGATTTAGGATCACAAAAGTAAGTGAATGTCTAAACTGGGAATGAGACACTGCTTTCTGGAAGAATCTGGAGCCAGTTTTGGCTGTGCATCAGATACAGATAGGCGAGAGCAAGGGAAAAAGAGGGCTTTGTTTGGTGTCCCTGGTGAAGAGTTTGGACAAGAAACATCACGAATACTTGATGTGCAATCTTCAGGGATTGCAGTAAGGGAGGAAACTTCAAACCTGGCAGTTGGCAAATAAAAGGTCAAATCTAGAAGTTTCTTCATCCACGTGAGAAGAACTGGGGCTGAGGCTGTTCATAAAAGAGGATAGCAACATCTGGATTCTGTGACCCTGGTAATCCCTTTGTGTTTTCTTGCAGAAGCCCTGCAGTCCTGTCAGCTGTGCTAGCAGAATGCTGTTAGTATTAAGCATTAATAGCACAGTACCAGGATTACTAATTCCCCTTTCAGCCCCCATGCAGGTCACTACCTAACTTGTGTCAGTAAAGTTTCCTCTGAATCCTGTTACAATGTCTGACCAGAATTATTGCTGTCTTAGAGAGACTGAGCATCTCTGTGTTCTTCTAGTGCGTATAAATCAACTTAGTGTTCAGGAAGATGATGTTCTTATGAGTCCTCTGTGGTCTAACAGGCACTCCCAGTAATGACTTATAGACATGCCTGAATCTGAGGTCTGAATGAAACGGTGCTGGTTTGTTTCTCTTAGCCATTGTTTTGAGCAAAAGAAAATTGCTTTGCGATACTTCTCGCTTTGTGGTTAGAGTATTTAGGAGTCTGGGTTCCATGTTATTCTGTTACATTTCAGCACATGCCAAAACTTACGTGAAAGGTGAATGGGCGGGTATCCTCTGACCTTTTGCACAAGCTTTGCCAGTGAGTGGCAAAGTTTCATATGGCTGAAAAGATGGGTCAGTGAAGAAGGTGAGTGAGCGGCTCAGTGACAAAGAATATGCCTAGGAAGGAGGCAAGTACATGTCACGTAAGGTGTGTCTTTGTTTTTCTGGGGAGGAAGGAAAAGGTAAAAATTATATGTAACTTAGAATCATAGAACAGTTTTGGTTGGAAGAGACCTTCAAGAGCATTGAGTCCAACGTTTGTCCTAGCTCTACCAACACCACTAAACCATGTCCCTAAGTACAACATCTACCCGACTCTTAAACACCTCCAGGGATGGTGACTCCACCACCTCCCTGGGCAGCCTGTTCCAATGCCTGACAACCCTTTCAGTAAAGAAATTCTTCCGAATAGCCAGCCTGAACCTCCCCTGGTGCAGCTTAAGGCCATTTCCACTTGTTCTAGCATCAGAAAAACTGATGCCTATTTAGCCTTTGCTGTGCTAACACTGGCATGCAAGTGGCATTAAATGTGTTTAAGAAGGTGTGTTTAAATAGAGACTCATGCACCTTCTACCTTTGCTTTTCTGCCAATCCTTTATTCAAAATAAGTGTAATATTAAAAGTTTTTAAAATAGTTTGGAAGTGGCTTTTTTGCATCACCTAGTAAAATGTTAAAGTGAGATTTTATTACTTTAGTTTGTATAAATGTTCCACTAGAAGTCTCTGGATTGCTGATAAATGCATTTCTATATTTCCCACCCCCCTCCGCTGCTACTTCTCACTTTTTTTGCAGAGGTTCTTGTGCTTTTCTTATCTGCTTGTCTTTTCCCTGTAACCTAGAGCATTTGCACATTAGTGGTTACTGAAATAGTTTGTGATGAATTTAGAGCAAAACAAATTCAGACCTTGAAGTTCAAGATAGTTCAGCTCTGTAGCTGGCTCCATTTGTACAGCAGTTCAGTACACTATAATATGCAGACATTATTGGCACTGGCAGACTGTTCATCATCTGACTGACAGCGGGTCAACGCTGCAAGCAAAACAGCACTTGGCTACTTGAATTCAAGAATCTAATATTTTCCCCTCAGTAAGACCTGCCACCTGGTTCAAATAATCCAGACCTTATCATTTGTGAAATTGTTTGCACTGAGGTGAACACAGCTATTCTCTTGTAACTATTAATTTTCTTTAAAGGAAGTCACAATAGTTTACACTTGAAGGGTACTTGGACAAATCTAGGACACCTGTTAGCTTGAGTGAAGCTGGACTTGTGAAAAGCTGAGCATTTGCTTCCTGGCTGCTGGGAAAAGATTCTGCTTTCAGGTAAGTCTGGGAATGAGCTTGCTTCATACTTCATCTGCTTTAGGCTTTTGGCAATTGCAGAGTGGAATTTAGCTGTAATAAAATCCTGATTATTTTATGTGTTGAACAACAAAGATTTTTCAGAAGTCTTGAAGTTTTACGAATTTCTCTTGAAGGGGTGGGGGGGCTGTGTGTGTGTTTGAATTTTTTGCCTGCATTTCCCAAGAGAACAAGTGCCTTCTCTTCTTCATTCTCACCACCCGTATCTTTGAACATCCTTTTTTCCCTTTACTCTGTCTTCTACTTTAAAACTAACTACTGTGTCTTTTGAGGACACTGTTTTTTTTTTACAGTGGGAGTATTTGTCATTCATGCTAGATCTCAAATGGAAATACTGAGGTTCAGTTAATGGTCCTGTAGACTGCAACCTTAATTGCTTGGAGGGACCGTTTGAGGAAGCAGTGTACCCTGAGGACACTATGTCCTTAAAAGGATAGGAAAACTGAGTCCTTAGCACGATATGGTTTCTGTCCAAGAAATGTATTCAGGTCTTGCCCGAATAACACCAGCAAACACTCCATGTTTCTCACTGTGCCTTTAGTCCTAGTTATCCTGTAGATACATGAAATGGCAGTCAGAAATAAGTATGTTGTGGCATCTCACAACATTGTCAAGTAAGTTTGAAGAAGTGTGTTACTGGCTTCAGCAAAAGCTTTGTTTGATAAAATTCTGTCACGGACATGAAAATATTGTCTATTAAGTAACTGATACAAATTTCAGTTTTATTATCATCAGACTCTCTGAGCTTAGTAGGACTGAATTATAATGCAAAATCATACTCCATACTTATATTGCAATAGTTTTTCAGAAGCTGGATCAAGTAGATTGAAGAGAGAACTTGTGACTGTGCAGAAATGCAATCGATGCAAATTAACTTACTTAACGTTTCTGGTATAGACACATCCAATACAGTGTCAGCATTTCATCATTAAAGAACAAAAGATGTTTTGATAATTTGTAGTTGTTTATCTTCCAGGTTATCAGAGATGGTGATTTGAAGAATCAGGTTTCCAATATGAACAAAGTAAAAACATCATCTGAAAAAAGGTAAATTTAAAACTATAGTGACTATCAACATCAAGTTATTTGAGTTTTGTGAAAAAGCAGTGTTTATCTTGGTAATAAAGAAAAATGAAATATACATTATGGGTCCCTAGTAAGATTGTGTAAGTTGATGTCCTATAACACTGAAGGAGTAAGTATTCATTAGCCTATAGTAGCTTCACATTTAATAAATAAATTTGTTTTAGCAAATATTTGAAAAAGTCATGAGATTATCTATGTCTGTTAAGCATCAGGAAGCTATTGAAAGGCGTTCAGTCTTACTCTCTCCTTAAGCTAGCACAGGTTAAACCACCTCATTAAATCAAGCTGTCTAATTAGATTAAAAAAAAAAATCTCTAAAGGTGGCAAAATAAGGAATTTTGGCATCGGTCTTAGTTCTCTGAAATACTGAATATTTTCTAAATGAGTGGATGAATTTGCATGAAGAACATGCTCTACTGTGAATTGGTTCTACATCTTGGGATGGATTTAGAATTTGAATTTAAATTCTTGCATGTAGAATCATCTTTGCTTTTGCTGACTTTAACAGTGGAATGCCTGGATATCAGAGACTGGCTGTTCCTGTTTGTGTGAGAGGGATCAAAAGAAATAGTAAAGAAAGTATTAAGTTTTCTACTGATGATATATTAGTTCCTCAGGCATTATGGTAAACAAAGTCCAACTCTTAGTCAGCAATGGGTATTCTTTGAAATACTACTAATTATAATACATAAGGTATTCTAGCACACAGAATATTGATTTTTGCAGAGTGGCTACTTAAGTGCTGTTTATTTTTTAGTTTTTGAGTTAAAATGAAAGTTTCCATTCCTCCAATTCAAAAGACTTATTCCCTAAGTCAAGAATAAAGTATGGTGAACTTACTGTATAGAGGTATCTGTGAACCGGTCAGAAGTATCAGGTCTCTAAAGATTTTTTTGGTAATTGTGGAGGTGGTTGAGAAAAAATAAATTTGGAAATTATTTTCAATGGAATAAAATGAAAACAAACTCATGAGAAGCCTACCTACTTTAAAATAGTTTTTTAAAGGCTTGCTGAAACACAAAAGATCTGTTTGCTTGTGAGGAAGAAGACACTCTCTGATACATCAGTGCAAACAGCAGTTTCAGAGGAAGTAGGTACAGTTGGGAAACTGAAGGTTTCTGACAACTTCCTTCATTTGACTTTTTTCTTTTGGAAGGCTTCTTGCAAGATGAAGAGATGGAAACCATTTTAAGACAATTGAATTTTTATAAGCTGCCATGACAGCCATTAGCATTATCTTTCTCATTGTGAGCAGGCACTTAGGTGGTGTGCTGTGCTTTTAGCATTTGTGTAGCAAAAGTATTGTACAGCGAGTAATGGAGAGCTGTGAATCTAGCACTTCTTCATAATCAATGTAAGAATGCTTAAACCTTTTGGGAGTTGATGGGAGTGGAAGAAATGTCCCTGCAGCGAGGGAACTTACTTTGAGATGTTTTCTTGTTGAGGGAGTTCTGTTTCAAATGTGAACCCCTGAAGCCCTCTGTTTCTCACTGTCTGGGCACTTGCTTCCTCTATATCTACTCATAGCTCTCCTGACCAGAGAAGGAGGAAATCCACAAAGCTGTCTGGTTAGCTGGAGTCATGCTGTATGCTTTGGCAACAGTTGAGATGACGGCAAGCTTGTTCGTGCTTCCTTTCTGCAAGTAAGATGGTGGCGTGAGGGATGTTTTGAACGGCAGCGTTTGAACGTGGGATGGAAAAGGGGTTTCCTGCCTACAGAGACGTGTGGTGCATGTGATCAGATAAGCCCGGTAAACTTTACCTCAGGGTACTTAAAGAAAGTCTAAATCCATCCCAGAAAAATAATTATCGGTTGTCTTCAGAACTGATGAGATTTGGGTTAAGCAGTGAAAGGCAGAGATGGCAGACCTAGTGGTTGTGTCTATGGGAGTCAGGGAGCAGAAACTGAGTAGCTGTAGATCATCCACCTTCTCTTCTTTGCAGAGAAGAATTCTGGAAGAACTAACCAAATGTGTGAGGCTGCAAACAGCCAAAGGTGGTTTGAGTTGTTTTTGAAATAGATCTGTTTTTTCATATGTGAGAGAGTAACAGGTACCATGAGCAGGAAAGTGGCATTAAAATACCACGTATGTGTTCAAAGCTTTACTAAAATAACCATTGCCTATGATTGCCGTAGGAAGCTAAGGCAAGTGCTCCATCCAAGTGCTCTGGAGTAGAGCACTGACTGGATGCCAGAGCAGTGGTAGCTGTTTGCTGTCAGAAGGAAATGGAGCACGGTTTGTTTCTGGATGTGTTCTTTCTCTTTCTAGTTACCGTTAGTGACTGAAAATATTTTGAGCTACTAATGATCTGAAAGAATTTTTTAAAATTGCATACAACTTGAAGTTGGAAAGATCTGCAAAAATATTGGAGGTCCAGATGATTTCAAAATCCTCTTGTGAAATGCAGAAAACGGTTAAGAATATTTGATGGAAATACGTGCAAGGTACTGTGCTTAAAGAGGTGTACCACTGCAATGGATAAAGGACAGTCAAATTTGTAGTGAGGAGAGCTGGAAATAGTAAGATTAAACTGCAGGGAGAAAAATTTTCAAATGAAGGGATATGGAGTGTTAGTACAAAGTTGCCTTTGGTTATTGAATCACCATTTTTGCAGGCCGTTAAGGACTGGTTGGGCATATGTCTGTCACAAAGAGCAGCTGTGGTGGTCATCCAGCTCTGAAGAGAATAGTTTATGGGGCCTTATGAAGTTTCTTCTGCTGCTCCTCAGTCATGATTTTTATAATTACAGATAGCAGAAACTCTATGTAACCCTCAGTGGCTACAGAATGCTGAGAAGGCTTTTGAATGGATGGGGTGAAAATTGTCTCTTTAGTAATAAGAAGGGCTCTTCATATTGTGGGAAAACAAGTCTTGTGTGAAAGGCTGACCACAGTGTTCAGAGTACTCAGATTCTGCAATGTCAGCAGCTTAACAGGAAGCCTAGCTCTGAGGAGAAGGAGTTTTTATTGTGCCATTCTGATTTCCTTGGTTTACCTAGCTGATAGATTAAAAATACTGAATTCCATGGTGCCTCTCTTTTTTCAAGTGCTGTTTTCTAGGTTTGGATCCTGACTGGTTTATTGGTCAAAACATGTGTATTTGCATTACAAGTATCAGAAAGGGTCCCACTGCAAATTTAGCTTCCATTTTGTTCTTAGGGTTGTCACAGCAGTATTACATATAGGAGCAGAGTCAGTCAGTCTGCTATAATTCTTGTTCTACAGCCTTTTTGATATACTGTGCAGGTGTTGAAAGCTGCCACAGTATTATAACCACTGTGCGTATTGGTGGAGAATATTAATAAATAAGAGTACAATTCTAGTTTTAAGAAGAAAAACTTAGTCATAACTAAGAGGAAATCAGGACTTTAATTTATATTTCAGCATCGACTGGTCTGGTGTTATTTTCAAGAACACTTTATTCGGTATGCTGAAGATACCCAATAGTGAAGTTTATTTGGCTGTATTTCTGTGGGAAGAATTCTTGCAAGATGAATAGCCTAAAACCATTCTACAACTATGCATTTAACTGCTACGATATGCGCTCACTGCTCTTGATAGAAACTCTGGCCTCAGGAGGAGATTATACCTCTAAATCTTAGAACTTAAATTGTTATACTGCTCAGTAGTGAGAATGACTTACCCTTCCTGAACCTTTTAAAGCTTTTAGTAAGTATGGAGAAATTATGTTAGATGCTAACTTTCTGTATGTGGTCTATTGCTTCCATGTGGCAGCGTTGCTTGAATTTTGCAGGCTGCAAAAGTCAAAAATCTGGTTTGCTTTGAAATTTTTATGCCTGTAAATGAGTTTTGTCTTTATGAAAACTTGTATTTTCTTTTTTTGTTTGTTCCTAAGGGGCATCTTTTCTTTCTTGGGTTGTTTCCAGCTTTCAAACTACATTTATTTCATTGTGAAACCAATGATATACAACAGTGGGAATTACAAATGTGTATATATTTATACACACACACCAATTGAACCAATAGTTCTCTTGCACTTCGGCTTATGTGTGGGTTGGCTGCACTCTTACGTGTTTTGATTGTGAATCTGGTGAAGATAATAGCCTTTGGAAGTTTGTCAGTTTGTATACCAGACCAACAGAGCTTGTGGATTTCATGAAAATCTTGGGTTTATTTTGGGGTATTTAAAGTTCAGTGGATAAATGGAGAAGTGGGAATAAATAAAACAAAGCTTATGCAAATAATAATGGCTTTGCACTGTTCAACCTGTTTTGGATGATGAGAAAGGATTGGAGGGATTATGTTTTACTTATACAAGGAAAGTAATATTGCAGCAATGGAGACTGATTTATTTTAGATCAAAAAATACTTTAAAGTCAAAGTCTAGCAAATAATTGAGAAGGTGATATAGTTACTTCACAATATAAAATAATTTTCGTTTAAGCTCTGTAATTAGTATAACCATTTCTTATTACTGATGTTAACAGCTTGTAAGTATCATCTGTAATCCAAAGTTGTTTTTTGGTTATGCTTCTCATTTTGATGTCAGTGTGGAAAACTGAAAGTGGTGGAAGCAGTTTCTTCAGCAGCTGTTATATCCGTTTACTTTCACAGCAGCACAACCTTTGCCTTCAGCTACCTTTTTTTCTTGATTTTAACATTTTTGTCCACAATCTAAAGTAATTATTTTAGTTGAGTTAACTGTAAGTGTGAAACCATTTCACAGATGTGAAGTGCAAATCAAGGAGTAATAATTCCTCATTGTTATAAACAAAACTGACAGTATTTATAAAGTTAATGTTATATACTTTAGTTTTATTGCAGATAGTCAGAATGGTATGTGTGTAAAATGAATTATTGCAGGACTCTAATGTTACAGAAGTGAAAAGTCAAGGTAATTAATCCTTGGAAATCATAATTTTGTGTAGTTAATTACATGCCTATAATTCAAATTTTAAACATTTATCTAAAAATTACTTTAATGTGGAAATGTGAATCTGAAAACTATTCTGAGTAATTGTTATGATCTAAAACTGGAGAGCAAATAAAAAAATTTCTAGCTCTGTTTTGAATGTATATGTACGTTCATTCTTTCGCTGTAATCTACCTATCTATACAAATACCTGATTTGAAATTGTTTCGGATATTATAATACCTTTTCAAGGCAACTTAATGATGTCAGGCCAAAATACCCTTGTATTCGAAATGAATCCAGCCCTTGATGGTAGCTTTGAACGCCTTCCAAAGACTTTTCTTCGAAATAGTGTTGTTTTTTTTCAGCTGGTAGGTGCTGGTTTGCTTGATTCATGAATGATAACCCTTTCTTTCTCTCCAGAAACACCAGCTTGTATGACAAACAGTCTTTGGGACTGTTTATGGCCAGTTTTTTCATGAATGGCATGTTTTGTACAGTATCCTGGCTCTTAACATAAACTATTATTAAATATAAGTTACTCTAGTTGGCATAGATAAGCAACATTTTTACCTAGATCTATATTTTATTTGCTGCAACAGCTTCCCTGTTCACGGTGCTCTTGGAGTTGCTGTTATATATAATTGGTCTGCTGCAATGCAGGCTTTGCAAAATCTCTAAACTTGCCAGAATAAAGGAGAATTGAGAGGGTTTTCCAATGGAGATGAAGTATGAAGGTGAATTAGCCACTCCCCTGACTCTGACATGGGATTTCTGTTGTTAGTGTTTTTTTCTTTCTGCTCTAGATGGAAAAATGGATGTAAAAATTCTTTCTTGTAGTGTTACTACCAGTTCTCGGACTATGTCTCTGCTGTCACAGCTGGAGAAGATCAATTTGGACTCTGTATTAGGAGAAGCAGACAATGCCAGATATGTTACCTCAAAGATCCTTCATCTGGTTCAGAGTCAAGGTAAATATCTAAGTTTTATGGTTTTAGTAGTTTTCCTTCTGAGCCGTCCTTCTTGTGTTTCTTCCTTGCTGGAATTTCCTTTAATTTTTTTTTCTGTTTTTGTCACTGATTGTTGAAACCACCTGTTTAAGGCCATGTTTAATGGTATTTGGTACAGTAGTGGTTACACTGAGGACGATTTGTATTGTCAAACAGCTATAATTTAAGTAATTCACAGTATATAAATATGTGTATGTGTATGTATGAGGAGCAGAAGTATCTGGAAGAGAGGTTTCTTACCAAGTTTTTTCTTTATAGCTTCTTTTCTAGGATGTGACAAGACTTGTTGAACACAGGAAACCAAAAATGAGTTTTAAAATCACTGAAGCATTTTACTTAGTTTTATATACGTATATGCAGTTTTTAATAGGTTTTTATTATTTGCAGTGTAGATTCTCTGAATAATCTGTATATGATTACTTTTTTTTTTTTTCCTGAAAGCTAGTATATTAAAAGAAAAATGGTCTTTTTCTCACTGGCAGAAAAAACCAGGAAGGAGATGACTTCTAAGGGTTCCAATGGAATAGAAGTTATCCTGTCAACCCTAGAGGTAAAACCTTTTAATCTGTGTGGTTATGGGTACATAGCAAGTTTTCATTTTATTGTTGGGCTTTGTATTATTAAATACGTTGTTATCCTAGCTAGTGTCCAAAATTTGTGTAGGACTGTAATGATTAAATATCATCTTGAAGTATCACAACCTACTTAAGAATTTCTCTCCCTTATTTTTAAATATTCTGGGAAATTACTTGTCAACTATCAGTTCTGATTAATATGCTGTACTACAAACTAGATTTGAATTGGTTTTGTGGTTAATTCAGGCTACATAGTGGGATGCTTAGCTGGATGGTTACATCTTAAGTCCTGTTTGATTTAGTGGTGGCAATTTCTACGAGCTTTAAGTATCTAAACCACTGTATTAGACTTCTACATTAAGCAAAGAAATCTGTTCTTTATTGCAGAATACAAAAGATCCTCAAACTATTCTAAATATATTGAATATTCTCATTGAGGTAGTCTCAGCTGGTAAGTTTTCATTAAGGAGCACTTTGTGATTGTATTCCTACATTATTCTGCAGACTTTTGGGGTGGTTCTTGTGTGTGTGTTTGGTTTTTTTGTTTGTTTGTTTTGTTTCTGACACTTACTAAAGCTGATTTATATGCAGAATAAAAAGAACATAAAGACTGAAGTAACCTTTCTGATAATCATACACAAATAATTTGTGTTGCTGTGAGTCTAAGTCCTGCATGTTCTTGCATAGTGTAGTCGCATATGAAGAAAATATTGCTGTTCTAAAGACTTTATTTATAGTAACTGTAGTTCAGCTACTTAATTGTTCTTTCACTTTGGAGATATTGATGGAGTTTTAATTTCTAGGTGGTGGTCGAAGAGCAAGCGTCTTGGTCACCAAAGGAGGGACACAGATCTTACTGCAGCTACTTTTGACTGCCAGCAAAGACTCACCACCAAATGAAGAATTAATGGTGCTTCTTCACACTCTTCTTGCAAAAATTGGTCCAAAAGGTGATAATGATATACTTAAGTGGTATGGCTTAATAATTTACAGTTTTAGAATTGAAATTTAAGAAAAATTTTCTTTCTATTTATGAGCATCCGCATACTCAGAATTAGTGGAAAAGAGCAAAAGAAGGAGTAAAATCCAGGGGAGGAAAGAATGGTGAAAAATAGATTTGCAGAGTTGATGTTATTAGTAGAAGGAATTCATTTATTTTTTGATGATAATTTTAAAATTGGTGTGATTGATCTTGTATTTCTTTGAATGTCAGACAAAAAGATCGGCATGAAAGCAAGAATTAATGGTGCCCTAAACATATCATTTAATTTAGTGAAGCAGAATTTGCAGAACCACAGGCTAATATTGCCATGTCTTCAAGTATTAAGAGTTTACTCAACCAACTGTAAGTATTGCAGATAATTATTTTCTTTCCAATGTGATATGATTTTTTTTTACCTAGATACAGTTAAAATACAGGTTCTAAATGCTTGTTTAATGTTAGATGTTTAAAATAATTATTTTTATCTGAAAATTTGCTTTTTAGATCATCAAATTACTTAAATTCTAATAAAAGCTGTGAAGCATGTTTATACGTCTTGTGTATCTGTTTTTTGAGTGTATATGTGTGTGTGTGTGTATATATATATATATACACACACACTATATATATTTAGTTGAGAGGGTTTTAACCAGTGCTATTGGATGTGTGGAATTTTGAGTCATCTCATTTGCATAAATGCTGATGCTTTAAGATCTAAATCAGAAATGCCAACATTATGCTTGCAAAAACGCTTGAAATTAAAGTTATTCTCTGTATTTAACACGCTCATGTTTATTTTGTTTTAATAATAATAATTTTATTATTTTATTTCATTCCTCATTGCTAATTTAAAACTTGGTTCACATAGGAAGTATTTTATTCCTTTCTTTAACCTTTCCCTTATTCCTTGTGTTGAAGTGCCCTTGTCTCTGACTAATATTCTTCCACAAGGGCCTTCTTCATGTTTCAGGCAGGCAGTAGGAAGTTGATGAAAATAGTGTAGTTCTTACTGCATTTCTACTGTCAGTTAGATATTCTTAAGTTTTTCCTTTGAGCTCAAAATGGCCATTAAACCTCTTAAATTTAAGTATGAGAAATTGAAAACATAACCAGATTCCTCCAAGAGAATTGATTTAATGATCTATAAGGTTATGTTTTCAAGGATGTTCACATGAGCATCTGTAATTATAAAGTCCCAGTTCTTTTAAAGTGTGGAAGCTTTATTTCTATTGAGCTGCCTGATAATGAGATAAAATGCTTCTAGATGGAAGACTTTAATACAGATAGTTCCATAGCTTAGCTGAAAACTTGCTTCATCCTGACAATGGGAAATTGAACCGAGTCTCTGATTTGGATTCTGCTTAGATCAATGCTATCTTTCTGTATTTCCCACTCCTTATAAACAGAAAAAGTAGTAGTTTATTACATTCTGATGGGTAGTGCAATTTAAGTTTGTGTATAGTTGCTACCAGCATAGAGTCCTAACTTTGCATAGATTCTAGTGGTGTAGTGTTGCTGCTGCTGAAGAAACTGTAACTTGGGTTCAAGTACTAAATTCTACACTAATAACAGCATTCGTTATGTTGAAGACAATTCTTAGTTACGGTCTTCCTGCTTCATTAGGAGTGCATATTGCTAAACTCAGTCAGGAACTGAGTTTTTGTGCCTGTTTCAGCAGTTTGTATTTTCAGTGGGCATTGGACTTCAGCTGTATGTACATCATGTGCGCATTTCTTGAACGGAGGTCTTGGCACCATTTCTTTTAATTTGCTCCCTTTCGAATAGATTTTTTTCTTTTTTTCCTGAGAGCATATATGTACAACACATAGCTCATACCAATTGGCATTTCTGAATTTTACAGTGAATGCTTGGCTTTCAAATGCTGGTGGACATGCCTGTCTATCCTAATGCTGAAGGATAATAGCAAGTCACAGAACTTGTTAGACTTGAAATTTTAGAAACCCTGTTGCCTTCATAAACTGTGAGATTTTTTGAAAGAAAATTATTTCTATATTGTATCTTAATAACATAGAAAGCAGAAGCATGCATTGGAAGTAGTACCTTATTTTATTTGTAAAGTAATAATTAATTTTTTTTCTTTTCCAACTTTTATCAGGATTGGATTATCATACTAATTATGTGCAAAGTAGTGTCTGCTTGTCGTTGTATGTCTTAAAGCACAAACATGTCTAACATTTTTGTACTTCATAATGAACTTGCATGGATTTTCGTTTGCGTATATTGTTTTTTTCTTTTACCTTTCTTAGTACATTGTCTTAAAATGGGTTGTTTTTAACTCTTACAGCTGTAAATGCAGTGTCCTTGGGAAAGAATGGAGTAGTAGAACTGATGTTTAAGATCATTGGCCCTTTTAGTAAAAAGAACACGAGCCTTATGAAGTAAGTAAGGTCTCTTTAATATTGTATATGGGAAAACCTTAGATACGTTTCAAAAATTACTTGTAAATGGAAAACCTCTCAATGTGTTGAATTGGCTCCCACATCTCCTTTGTGCTTTTAAAGTGACACTATATGTGTCTATTTTATTTTATAATAGAATTTTCCTTCTGTTTTACTTCAAAGCAATTATAGACTCTCAGAGCAAAACCCTAAAACATAGAGTAGGAAGCACCAACAGTATCTGTCCACTGTGCAGTTGTTTTCGTTTGTGGTGGTGTTTTTTGGTTTTTTTTTTTGTAAAATCACTTTGTACCTTGAAGTGATGACTTTAGATTCCACCTTGCCCCATGTATTTTTTTTTTTTTTTTTTAGTGTGAATTTAGGGTAAAAATAGGTAAGTGGATCTAACTGGAGATAAATTAAACATGATCACCTTTTTGAAATACATACTTGTAGAAAAGAGAGGTTTTCATCTGGTAATCAAAATAATAATTTCATGTTGTTCCTATTCTAACTTCAATACAAAAAAAAATAGTGTTATGTTGTCTTAATCTGGTATTTGTGGTCACTGGAGTATCGTTTGAAAAAATGACCTGTCCCTTTAAGCCCTAGCTAAAATTAGATAAATGAAGTTACTATTCCATGATGTGAGTGATCGTGATATCCTTGTTTATGGTCTAAGATCAGATGTGTGTAGTCTATCTTTACAAAGAGGGTAAAAATAAGTGTATACATTTTCTAGTTGTGCATCTTGAGTTAATTGAGATGAGATCTTTGTGTACAGGAAAACTCCTACTCTGACAGTCTTGTATTGTAGTACAGATTGATGAGCGTTAGTCCTCAATATATTCATACACTGCCAGTTTTGACTTAGAGTTTTCTAAAATTCCATCTTTTTCTTTGTGAAAGTACTTGTCCGGCTGAGTTTCAGAATTATCTCATCTATTGAGTAGGTTCATAAAGTCATTGTCACTTACGCTTTGTTTTTTTTACAAAGACTGAAGGTTTGTATAGCTGTTGCATTGATATTTCTAAATTTCACTATCAGACTTCAGATATAGCAGAGATGCATATTTTAGTAACACCGAATTTTAAAAGTGAAGTCTCTGATGCAGTGCAACCAGGAAAACATGAGGATAGATGTTCAGTAAATCTGTTAGCAGTAAATATTTTGTATAGCTTTACAGTGTTGTAAATTAAGGTTACTGGTTGGTTGTTGTTTTGACTTTCCTTGTTATGTTGACAGGGTTGCTTTAGACACACTTGCTGCATTGCTAAAATCAAGTAAGTGTTTGACTACAAGAAACTGTTTGTCTAGTTGAGAGCTGTATCTGTGTGTGTGTGTGTCTGTGTGTATATACAGAGTAAAAATAATATTAAGCCTATGGCCAAAACAAAGTCGAGGCTAGAAAATGTAGAAATAAGGCTACAGTTTTATCTGCAGTTTCTGGTGCTGCAATATTTGTGTGGTATATAAATATATGTTTAATACACATGTTACAGTCTCTTCAGTTATGCAGCAGAAAGCCTGCAGTGCTTCTGCAGAACCGATCTAGATCCAAGGTGGAGAAATAGCCTTTTACAGTCTCTTACCTCAGCCCTTCAGTAACGGATGTCTGTAGCTTAACTCCTGTGCATCTTCTTTATACGTTCATCTGAAAATACTTGTTGGATGGCAGGGGAAAATACAGGGTTTCTACAGGTACCTTTCTGAGTGGTTAGGCCTTGGGTCATAATGACAAGGCTGTCAGTAACAATCATGAAGTGGAATGAAGGGTAACGAAATGGTGGTCTATTCCCAGACATTGGCTATCTTGGCAGGCAGCATTGGATCCTGATGATATCATCTCTGCAGATTTTGCACCAGGATCATAACTGACAAGGAATTAAAAACTCATTCTCTCTGAACAGTTGTGTAAAAGCTAGAACCTTCCTGTTATGTTTAGTGGAATTGGTTAAGAACTGGGGCATGATTAGATTTGCAGAAAACCATTTCAGACAAATGACAGGAAACTTCTGTACCGATTATTACAGAGTGCTGAGTTTGCTCATGTTTGATCTATGTGATACCTTGGTCTTACAGATTTGTGTATTTGACTAATTTTGGAAATTCTCCTTGGGAAATTTGGGGAAAGAAGCATTTCTAAATTATTGTCAGTATTCTGTTTTGTAAATTGGCACTTAAACTTCAATGTTGGGGGAAGAAATTAAATGTTGAAAAGTGTGTCTTTAAAACAGGAGGTCTTGTGCATTTATTTTGAGATGTCTTATTCAGTCCTGAGGGGTTTTAACATTGTGACTTCCTATACTTAATATAAGTAAATCTTTTCATAAAAACACTAATCTCTGGTGTGTCAAGTCCTGTTGTCATACTGATTACCCCGTATTTGGGGTAGAGGTATTTTGAGTTTATCAGATTTAAGTGGTAGTTGCTGCAGAACTGTATGGATTACGAGTGGTAAGAAGTTTATTTCGAATCTTGTATCTACACAGTGTGTGTGGATAGAGATAGATATGCTTCATGTAAACAATTTATTTTTTCTGATTTGCCAGCTGACAGTATGGTACAATTACCTCTAAGTGTAATGCATACTGTTCTTCTGGTAAACTGTGAAAATGACATACAACGTTGTCCTGAAGACCGAAGTGCAGACTACTGGCCTCAGTTATTCCGTCATTTCTGTTTAGGTTGATGTAAAACTCTGCTAAGCATAGCTAAAGTACTACTTGAAAAGAAACAATTCAATTACTTGGGTAAAAAAAAAAAAATTAACATTGATTTGAAAATAATATTTAAGTCATTGGGCAATTTTTAATTTTCTTTCCTAACTTTTTTTATAAAGAAACAAATGCCAGGAGAGCAGTAGACAGAGGATACGTGCAGGTGCTTTTAATGATTTATGTTGATTGGCACCGTCATGATAGTCGACACAGATACATGCTGATACGTAAAGGAGTTTTACAGTGCATTAAAAGTATTACAAACATCAAATTAGGAAGAAAAGCGTTCATTGATGCCAATGGGATGAAAATTCTTTACAACACTTCACAAGTAAGTTTATCACAGTTGGGTTTGTTGTTGTTGGTTTTGCCTCTTCAGCTTTAAAATCACATCTTGACCTCAAATTTGTCATAGTTCTTTTATGGTATTCATGGTCATTCCTGATTATGGGGGTAAGGATTATTTTCTGTAGCTGACTAAAGCAGAATAAGAGAGTACAGAATTAAATTAGTATTTGCTATTATTTGGCTGTGACCTATCTCTGGGAGGGGCTGCTGAACTTGATTTTAAGAAAGCAGCGGGGGGGAAGTCTTTTAATTTTGAAGTTTGGGTTTTTAACAAAGGTGAATTTGAGTTGGTAGAAGTTCTCTGGCCTTCAAAAGAGATGTTAGCAAAATTTACTGTAAACAAAATACTTTGCTGTTAGTGAATTCTAGAAATCTGTGAAACAACTGTAGTTCGACTATTAGTTCGAGAGATACTTTTCTCTTGTCTTCGTTATTTTCCTGTTAATAGGAGTGCCTTGCAGTAAGAACTCTTGATCCCCTTGTCAACACATCCAGTCTAATAATGAGGAAATGTTTTCCTAAAAATCGTCTTCCTTTACCAACTATTAAAAGTGCTTTCCATTTCCAACTCCCAGTTATTCCTGTCAGTGGTCCTGTGGCTCAGCTGTACAATTTGCCTCCTGATGGTATGGTAATTTTGTAGTATTTTATCTTTAATTGTGTCTAACATTGCTTTATGTAATGTGGAATCAATTGCAGTTATTTGTGTTCTCAGCTAAAACTTGGACCCTGAGACTCTTCTCAGTTGGCAAAGAGTCTGTGACTCTTAGTGTGGAGCACCAATCTCTAATGTTAGTTTTAACTCTCAAAAATTTTGACTACACATGTGGTTGTGTTTTATTTTCTATTTTATATCTTAGAAACAGCTGTCTGATTGGGGTTCATATGGGTCAGATTCAAACTGCAGGAGTTTAAGTGTTTGTTTTGTCTTCAAAGTAGAAAATAGATTTAGAGGTGTATTCTAAAATCCACAGAAATTAAACCCCTAGTTAATACAGTATTTTTGGTACTCCATAATACCTGTTTAGAAACTTCTTATTCTGTTGCAGTAGACTATTGGTAGGTTGTTTTAATAGATTTGTTTGTTAAAAAAAGAAGTGCAAAACATAAGGAAATAGGATACATAGGATTTTCTTTTTAAGGAAAAGCTTCTGTATTAAAAGACATGTCAAATGTTGGGGTGGGTACAGCTCTGGGTTCATTAAAAATGTAATCTTGTATAGTCAGCATTGTAAAAGCAATATGTGTAAGCATTCTGAATACACTAGAAATTCAGTATAATTTGTAAACCTCTGAATGAGCCTTTTACTGACAATCAGCAAATTTCCTACATGGAAAACACTCCATCAGAAAACACAACCAAAAACCCAGCGCTCAAACTGCATGAGATTGGTAGAAGAAGATCAGATTTGCCACTAGTAAGCAGAACATCTGCCAGAAGAACCAGTTAAAGGCCACTTCCACATGTTGGGGAGTTAGCCCAATTCTTGTTAGTCATGTGTAAACAATTAGTTTGCTTCCCCTTGTTTTTCTTTGTTAAAAAAGGAGGGAGTCCTAGATCCTTCAGTGCACTAGGTCTCTAACTCAATTAGAAATTAGTCATTAGTGTCCAATAGTTCCACATGTCTAAAAAAGTAACATCTTGCTCTATGTTTTGAGGGTAAAATTTAATTCCTAACCTGTCCGTGCTAAAAAAGTCAGAAACTTAATTCTGGAGATTTAACCAGTAAGGAGAATACTCGAGGAGAGTGGACATTGGTTACTGCATAAGCAGTTGCACTCTCCTCGAGTATTTTCCTTACTGGTTAAATCTCCGGTGTTGTTTCTGACTTTTTTTTTTTTTTTTTTTACAACTGTTAGACTGCATTTAAGCAAGGCAAAAAAGGTGAAGAGGGTCTTTGACTGTTGCCTGATACAGGGTCAATACTAGCTGACATGACTAAAAGCTGCCAAGACCTCAATTTTTTTGGACATGGTCATTATTCTTTGGGAAGAGATGTCAGATCCATCTCGTTTTGTACTGACTTCAAGCTGTGATGAGATGTTCTTGGCACATCTACATTGTAAAGTATTTCTAATGGCCATCTGCTGTCTTGCTGTTTTTTTGGGGCAGGGGGGTGCTGCGTGTTTTTTGGGTTTGTTTTGCTTTGTTTAAATCAGAGATCTTTGTTTTGACTTAAAACTGGATGGAAATGTAGTAAATGTAGTTTGCAGTGTTGTCAAACAAGTGTTTTGTTTGTAAATCTGATAATAGTAATTGATGTTTACTAGTTGGTTTTCACAGTTTTCTCAAGTGGTAAGTAAAAAAGAGAATGAACCCAAAACACAAACATTTTTTTGAGTGTATGTACTGGATTAAATGTATCATCTGCCTTACAAAACTTTTTTGTGTTGTAGTGGATGATGTAGTAGATGAAAGTGATGATAACGATGATGCTGAAATAGATGATGCAGAAATTGAAGCTGAAAATGATGATGACAAGGACCAACATTTTAAGGTTGGTATGAGACAAAATTAATAGGCAAAAATCAGGCGTAACAGTGGTGTTGGGGTTTTTTTTGTTCTTTTTTAAGTAGCTTGAGTCATGTATACAGCCATATGCTTTAAGTGTTAAAAGGAGTTTGAAGAGGTTTTTAGGGCAATTTCTAATATTAAAAAAAAAAAGGCTCCTGAAACTTAGGGAAGGTGGCTGCTGCTTGAAAATATTTGTTGTTCAGATTGCTTCAAGATTTTTATCAAAACCTGTTTGCTTCACACTTGATGTGTCTGGAGTACGGTGGAACAGAACTACAAACTCTTTTAGCAGTGTTCTGTTATCAACTTGTATTTTTCTCAGCCCGCTCTTTCCACCTGAGCTGCTCAGTATGTAGGAGCTGCTTTAACTTTTCCCATTGTTCTGGACTAGGATTGACTAGGTCAGTGTTTCAGCCAACTGTAGAGGTAGATACCAGACCTCTCACTTAGAGAGGGTCTTGCTCTACTCTCCAGCTGCCAGTCAGGACATGAAAGGACATTTGGTCAGAACTGCATTATTCTATATTTTTATGTTACATATCTTCAGGAGTTGATTGAATTGTCTGTCAATAGATTGGAATGACAAATTTTATTCAAGGCTCTCATGAGCCCTGATGAAGGGAGTATCTTCAATAGAAGCAGTTATACCTTTGTCACTGCAGTCAGATGAAATCTACAGGTTGCAGTAGTTTGATAATGCACAGATCTCATGTAAGGTGTAGTGTGATGTCTGTTTGTAATACATTTGGATGAAAGCAAGAAAATTGAGATGTTTGTAATATTTCTGTTGAGGTGGAGGCTTTAGCATACTAACAAAACTGAGCTGCTTAAACCTTCATGGTGGCATGTGCTGTTCAGCTAACTTTAAAATAGTGATATTTGGCTTTTAAAGCATGGCCATGTCAGAATTAAAATGTGAATGTAATTATTTTAGTAATTCATTAATTCTGGATGCAAGATTAATTTGTTCTGGTGGTCTTTCAGAATGATGATATTGAGACTGATATTAATAAACTGAAACCTAGACAGGAATTGGGAAGAGCCATAGAAGAACTGAAAATGTATGAGCAATTTTTCCCAGAACTTTCAGAAAACTTTCAGGTAAAGTTTGTGGTTCCTAGGGCATTCCTTATCATGACGAGTTGACTCTGGAATAGTTTGACTTTCTTTTTTTGTGTGGATAATTTTTCTAGCCAAAAAATGAGTGTGCAGTTCTAGAGCTACATATAAGAGTGCTCTGTAGTGAGTTTATTTAGTTAAATGTTATGTGTTACTTTAATGGGACTGAGGAGAAGACTGTGGGCAGATATAAAGGAAACCTGTTTTCTGATGTCTGAGTCTTGCACATAGCAGAAAGTAAAATAGTAAGAAAGTATACAAATTTATTGTATTAGATATTTCTTTAAATGCTGTGCACATATTCAACGTAGTTGGTTAAAATATCCAGGGAATCGCCGTGACTTGGTAATTTGTTATTGATGAACTGCCTGTTCAGTGCTTTGACATTATCTTCTTATGAAAGCTGAAACTTCATTGCTATGTGTATGTAAGTTGAAAACATAACAACTGTCGTCTTTTAAAGTACACCTACTTTGGATTATTGCAAAATGTACCTCAGGAACAATGAAAGACAGAGGTTGCTAATGTAAATGAAACGTTAGGAGCTGTTTGGGTTGGGTTTTTTAATAAATATTTTTTTTTCTTTTAATTTTTTAAGGAATGTGACTTAGTTTCCAAGGAACCAAAGCCTTTTGTACCTGATGCAAATCTGAGTAGACCTATTGTTGTTCCTACGGCAGGAGAGGAGCACTCTGCTGAAGCAAACGAATCAATGAAAGGAGTTGCTTTGAAGGAGAGCAATCCTTTATTGACAGAGGAATACAATAGAAGGCCAGCCTTTCTGGAACTACAAAAGAAAGATAGTATCAAAGACAGCGGTTTACATCAGGAAAATGATCAAAGAAATGTGCTTCCATCATGCCAGTGTCTAAGCCAAGAAATTGTGAAAGGCTTGGACAGAATCAGCCTGCAGAACAGTGCAAAAAATGATCAGTATTATGGTACAGGGTGTGTAATAAAGAAGGAAAGCAAAGCTAGCCTTACCACGCTTGCTTGTAGTAAACCTTGTGAACAGGTTTCACCCTGTGGGGGTAGCCTCTTTGAGGGATCATCTGTCCAACTCGGAAAACTTTGCTGCACTGGAGTGGATTCAGAGGAGGAGGATTCCAGATCTAGTTCATCAGGGGAACAAGTCATGCTTGAGGTTTCTGATGTATCACCAGTTCATGACTGTGATCTTTATATTGAAATGGTAAAAACTACAAAGTCTATTCCCGAATATTCGGAAGTGGCCTATCCAGATTATTTTGGCCATATTCCACCCCCATTTAAGGAGCCTATTCTGGAAAGGCCATATGGAGTGCAGAGGTGAGTTATTTTATTCATTTTCTTTTGTTTGGTTGATTTTTTTTGTCCCCTTGAGAAACAGTCTTTAGGATAAGATTGACAGGCACATGTACAACGCTTACTTTGGCATTTGAAACTATTTTCAGTGAAAAGCAGTTTGAAGGTAGGTGAGTAGGCATTGATCAATGCAGAGCCATAAACAAGAACACAGTCTGATTCTGTAATTGCTTATTCTGTAATTCAGTTTCTAAATACTGAGTTTAATTTATAGCTTCCCTTTCGGCCTTCCCGCCATCCCCGTCTAAATTTTGTAGTTTGTTAAAACAAAATGAAACAAAACAAAAAACCCAAAAGAAAACAACCCACACAAAAAAACTCAGCCAACAAACAAAAAACCCACCTGAATGCTCCCTTCAGGTCTTTGCAAAGATAGGGAAGTTAATAGTTTGAAGACACTTCACCTTTTCTCTTTGCTGTGACAGAAAAGCTATATTTCAGGAAAATGTAATGGGAAACGTTAAAAATTAATACACTTAAGTTTGGTTTTAGTGTTTGCAGTATAACAGAATTTAGAGGTAACAAATGCTGAGGATGCAGTTTATGTTAGGTCCTGCAGAATAACACACTATAAACACAGAGTGAAAAGTAAAGCAAACCACCGAACCCCAAATATCAACACACCCATTTATTTCTTCATTGAGAGAAAGTAGAAGATGATGAAGGGTCATCTTAAGAATAATTTGCAGAGGTGGTATGAAGAGCTGGCTCATATGCGTAGTAAGTTGCTCTAAAGACAGATGAGTATGTCAGCAGAACATGGAATAGTAGATATGAAACCTTGCCACTTTCTTAATTATTGGATTGAATGCTTTCAGCTTTATACTTGTAACTCTAGCCAGTTTCGTGAGATTCTTCCTATCACATTTAGTTATTAAAATTATTAAGTGTCTTTAGGTTGTATCATTAAAATCCAAATTTCACATGTCACAACAAAGCGATCTTAATAGTGAAATGACCAAGTGTTGAAACACTGATGACAATGAATATACTGTTACTAAAAAGCACCGTTTAGTGTTGAAGGAGCTTGTTTTTAGATAGAATCAGCTCATTTAGAAGGGAGGTAGTCTTGAGTCAGAAATTGTCTAAGAGCTGCATTTCGAGAAGGTCTTGCAGATCTTCAGGTATGGTTTTGTAGTGCTTAATAATTCTGAATTTTCCTGAGTAAAACAGAGTGAAGTCAGACAAAATTTGTCATTCCAATGCTCGTTCTTCTTAGATACAAAGCACTATATTAACTCTGACCTCTAACCAACAAACCTACTTCTGTGGTCATACATAAAGCTGATTTCTAAACCATGAAGGTAATTTTTATCTTTAAAACATTTTATTTTTGTTGTATTTTCTTCATTGAAAATAACTTTTTTAGGTCTTGTGTGAAACAAGAATGAAATATCAGGTAATATTGCTAAACCAGATTCGAAAGTCCTGCATCACCTTTTTAAGGTACACTGTTCTAAGAATTCAGTTTTCTACAAATGACTCCGTGTTGTTACTGCGATATAACGAATTTCGAGAAGGGAACCTCTTTAAAAAGGGCTTAATATTTTTAGGAATTTATAGTTTATAAGAAGTTAGTAAAATTGAATTTGGTAGGGGACATGGAGAAGCTTTTAAGTCTTCTACGAAGATGTATCCAAACTCCTTTGGCATTCCGTGGGATTTATATTCTCCTTAATGTAAACAGCTAGTTACTGCTCATCAGCTAAGTCTTCTTTAGAAAACAAATGGTTGCCTTGATCTGTTCTTGTAACTTAAGAAAACTTTGTAGGGGACTGAGGTGGGGAATTAGTGGGTTTTCTTTTTACTTTTATTAAACGAATGTGGGGGGGGGGCGTGTGGGAGGTTTTTTTTAGTCGTGGAGTGTGCTGCAAGATGCAGTGTTTTTGAATTTGTGCTTTGGAGTGCTTTTGCTTTTTTGTTTACATTTAGTAACGTGTAATTTTCACCAAATGTCTCACTAAATTGTTATTATTTGGAGAAAATATTGGGAATAACTGAAGTGTTTTACATTACCCTTTCTTGTAGGGAAGAAAATTGGTATCTAATTCAATACCCTATAAATTCCTACTTTTTTTGAGTCCTTAAAACTTTAGGTTGTTTTTTTGCTGTACACTTTAGTATTTTCTATTCTAATTGCTTCAGTATTTTCTAACTGTCGAACACTTAGAAGTGGTTGTCAGGTAAGTTACAGTCCACAAAGGACTAAACTGTAAAGGCAGAGCTCCACATCAACAGTCGGTTTTAAATATTTTTTTCCTTTAATTATCTTAAAATAGCTTCTCTTTCTCTTGATTTTTTTGGAACCTGAAAGTGTCTGCTACTACTTTTTCTTTTCATGTGCATCTTGAATACCCTTTCTTCTTTCCTTTTGTCTACATTGGTTATTACTGTGGTATTTGAATGCCTGATGCTCATTAATGGATTTTGGCTTGGCAAAATGCCTGTGATGAAGAGAAGTATTATGACCTTTTAGAGCTAAGGCATATTGAGATCTAAGGAGTTGTGTGAAGAACAAGTGCGGGATCAAAAAAATGTGTAGTTCTGCCTTGAGCTGAACCTGATCAGATAGGTGGTGGTGGGTCTGCCTCTTCACAACTTTGTCAGTATGTTGGACTTGCGACTTGTGTTCTTTTCCAGTTAGTTTTAATTTAATAAGAGGTGCTCAAGTTGTGCACTTACCTTCTTTTTCTCATTCTTTAACAATATTTTTTTTAACTAAATGGACAATTTCCAGCCTGAACATACTTTACTACTCTGTTCCTGTATTCTTAGTTGTTAATCTGCCTCCTTTTTTCTTATTTTCTTCTTATTGCAGGTGCTGTGCAAGCTTTTCCACACAGCTCTGCCACTATATTTCACTCTTGAACTGCAACACATTCTTGCTTTTCCAAACCAGGACCTAGATACTGCCAGTTGTGCAATGGTTTTATGATCTGGATAAACATACACCTGACATTTGGCTGACATCACCAAATTCATTCTTATTTGTTACCTAGTCGATAAATGAACCTAGATCTCCAGAGGTGAAAAGCTAGTGCACTAACACACTCACTGCATGGCCTACTGTCTAAAACTCTCTTAATTTTAGTTATGGTAGGACTCATGTAAGTTACTAATGTTATCAAGTGCTGTCCTGGATGAAAGCGTTAACATAAGTAATGTTTGAGTAATTCTTGCTTCTACTATAAAGTATGAAATTGTGCATTTTTTTCCGTAAGGTAAACCCCAATGGGTTGTCTGCATGAAAACTCAGTTCGCTCACGTACAAATATTGGACTCCGTCAGCTGTGAATGCAGGTGTTTAAACTTAAGTACACTTACAGTTTGTGCACAGAAGTGGGGGTAAGGCTGAGGTCTCTGAAAATCTGTCCTACTGTCTTCATGTGGACTTCGTTAGTTTTTATTGCTGTATGAACTCATTCCTCTTTTGTAATTGGAAACAGCATGAAACAATTTAAATGAGAACTCTGCTTTTTATTTTAGGACAAAAATCTCCCAAGATATTGAAAGACTGATTCATCAAAATGACATTATAGACAGAGTTGTGTATGACCTTGATAATTTGAAGTAAGTTTTTACCCTTCTGAAAACAATATTCAGAGAATACTCTAAGCCTGTTCTTCTTTCTCTGTGAAATGATTTGTAATATTTAAACAAGACTATGATGGTAGACTTGAGTGAAAATTTAATTTGATGTAACAGTGTTTCTGCTATCCAGGCTGTATTTAGAGGAAAGCTCAAAATAATTTCTGAATTACCAAGTGAGCGCTAAAAAAACTTACTGAGTTTGTTTTAGTTAAGTTTTTTTATTCATTTCAGTCCCTTTTCTTTTTCTACTCACAGTTGTTCAGTACCAGAGGAGGCAGATGTTCTGAAGTTTAATTCCAAATTTGAATCTGGAAATCTGCGCAAAGTTATTCAGATCAGAAAGTAAGATATTTCAAGTCTTTTCACACATAAGGCCTTTTATTTCTGCTTCATGAAAAAAGATTGATTTGTTTTTGTTAATCTTTAGAAACGAGTATGATCTAATTCTGAACTCGGATATAAATAGCAATCATTATCACCAATGGTTTTACTTTGAAGTCAGTGGAATGAAAACTGGCGTTGGTTACCGGTTTAACATCATCAACTGTGAAAAGTCAAACAGTCAGTTTAACTACGGTAAGATACACTTCCCATGCTTTGAGAAGAAATACGTAGAAAAATATCTGTACTAGGCAGCTCGGCTATTTCCTTCCCTCTACCCTGGGATCATTAGTGTATTCATGTTGTGAGATCAGGTTCTTTTTTAGTAGTATGACTAGAAAATGTTTAGAGAAGTTTCAGTCCAAAAGAAAAAAAGTATCTTAAAACACTGTCGGTTTTTAAAATGAAGTTTTGTTAGTGAGGCCAAACCAGAAGAAATTTGCTGGTGGCTGCAGCTAAAAATTTGTCCTAAGACCGTTGTAGGGGGGACAACAGCAAAGCCACACAGGTGCAAGAAGAATGACAACTGTCATCATTAATCACTTTCTGAATAGAGGTGTATTTTCAGATGTGAAAGTGAAGATATTCTCAAACAGTTTTGTCTTATTGATGGGAAGAGAGGCACATTATTTGAGACAGAAAAGTGAGTCTCCTTTGAAATGCTAGGCTTTATAGGTGACCCTTGTAGTCTCCAGTGAGTAGTGCTTGTACCTCATCCGAAAGTGCTGGCTTACTGAATATGCCTTTCTTCCACTTGTTGGGGGGGTGTGTGGTGTCATTCAGCTTCAAACTATTGGCTTTGTGAGGTTTTTTTTTCCATGCTGGATTTTCTGAAATTCGTACCTTAAGGAGGAGGAGAAGAAGCTTCCTCCCCACCCTGCCCTCAGACTCTTGGGACAGTGTAACATCATATTCTTCTTTGTCATAATTGTACAGCTTACATTAATAAAATCCAAGAATACCAGGTAATTTAACCAATGCTAAGATGCTTTTAAGTTACTGGTCTTCATCAGTTACTTTTGATCTTCATTCACATGTTTTGTATACTTACCTGATAGTTACTTTTGTTTTTTCAAGTACACTGATGAAATCAGTCAATGTATTTGGATAATGATCTAACTAGCTAATAATGTTCAATTAATATGTATTATTTTCTACTCTAATTTCATCTTAGGTAGTCAACTTAAGTGTATTTTCAAAAAAATATAAACTTTAAAGAAATACTGCTTAGAAAAAAAAAAAAGGCTTGTCCTGAAACATCAGTTATTTTCTAGCCATCCAGATGAATGGAGGATAGTATCAATTTTGTATTCCCTTTGAAGCCTTTTTGTAATGGTGAGTTGGATGGAGTGGGACCCAAGACTTCTTGTAGATTACCATTTATGCTAATCACAGCTTTCATTTAAACATTTCATCTTAGTCTTCCGTAGCTCTGATTCTTATTTTTTTTCTTTAATTTGTTACTTTCTGAAAAGTAGGACATGATGAGGGGAGAGGAGGAAGAATCCTTTGTCACATGGCTGAAAGAGCGTACAATACCCAAGCATTCATGAAAATACGCTCTATGATAGTGAATGAGTATAGGTAGTTTGGATGGAGACTCACATGTAAGAGTTGATGTCGTCCATTACTGCGAAGATCTTGATGTTTAATATAAAGTGTTGAAGCGAGATGCATTTTTTTCTTTCAGGTATGCAGCCCCTCATGTATTCTGTTCAGGAAGCATTAAATTCTCGACCATGTTGGACTCGTGTTGGGACAGATATTTGTTACTATAAGTAAGTACACCATTCACACATACAGAAAATGTTACACTGAAGGTAAAGTATGAGATACAATTTTTGAGGAGAAATATTTGCTTCTGTGTTTGGTAAGTCTGTTTTAGTAGTTCCACTTTCTTCCTGAGTTACTATGGAGAGTAGCAGAAGTGACTGAAATATGTAGGGTCTTATTTTGTTAGCATGCTGCTAATATTTAAGCTGTGCACCTTTCATACTTTTGTCAGAAGCTTTTAAGGGAATGCATGTCTGCATGCTTACCAGAAATCTTGATATGACTTCCAGTAATACTGATCACATGGTGCTTGTGATTAGGCTCCTGTATTCTATGGTGCAATCACTGTAGGGCAGTCTGGAACACAGGATGATATGGTACAGCATATCCATGTGTTACACTTCTTGTTCGGCTGTTGTTTGCTTGCCTTTTTTTTTGTTGTTGTTGTTGTTGTTGTTGTTACTTGTGCAGCTTTACTTGCCTTTTCCCAGTATTAATACTAAAACAAAATGTCTTTACAGATGGTGGAAACCACCGTATTTAAACCAGATGTTACACAGAAGAGAAATACAATAACTAAAAATCTTCCTGGCTCTTAAAATGTGTGTTGAGGGATGATCAATGATATGAAAAAATTTTTTCTAATGTGTTTATTACCTTCATTTTACTCTTAGGAATCACTTTTCAAGAAGTTCAATTGCTGCTGGAGGTCAGAAAGGAAAATCTTATTACACAATTACATTCACAGTGACTTTCCAACATAAAGATGATGTCTGCTACTTTGCTTACCATTATCCATATACATATTCAACTTTAAAGGTGAGAAGATTATGATGTTACATCAATAAATATTTATAGTCTTAGATAATGTGAAATGTAAACATTCATGAGTGAATTATTTTTATTTCCTTTTAGAAAGTTCAAAGTCTTCCTTAAAATGGAGATTTGCCATAAAATATTAGTGTTTAGTCTGTTGAAGTGTGTAGGTTGTTCTAAAGAACAGTCCCTGGAAAAATAAAATTAATACTTAGTTTAAAGCTAAATGGGTTTTCTGGGAATCATAATTCATAATTGACTAGAAACGGTGGTAACTGGGTGAAGTATATGAGTCAAATGACTGATGTCCTGCTGTTTTACATACGCCTTTTCATAACTGACCTATTTGAGTTACTATATTTAAGATAATTAGAGACTTTTTAGAATAATGAATTTGGGATACAGTGTCGAGAAGGTTTTAGTACTAAACAAAACTCCTGGCTAGAATGTCTGTTGGTTGTTTCTGTGACAAATAAAAGCGAAACTGGGGATTCAGTGGCCAGTGTGTAACAGCGTTGAATGAAGCTTTTTACTAAGCCATAATTGCTCTTGGAAGAAGTGCCTGTTAAGGGGTGTTACAAGCAGCTGCTGCCTCCAACAGCTTTGGGGCCTGGCAGTTCCTCCTGCCCAGCTGCTGGAGCCCAGCCAGGGGACGCAGGGGTCTGTCCCAGGCTGATGGATGTGGCTTACTGCCTTCCTGTTGGCTTGTAGGTTCAATCACTAGCGAGTCTTCGTGTGTATTCCAAAGAGAGAGAGACTCACATGCACGCACTTGCACATCTCCCGTCTCCCTGGCACGGCTGGCACAGACAAAGTGCCGCCTTCAACAACACCTGTGTGTAACGCTACCAGGACTTGCTTGAAAGATAACTACAGACACCCAAGTCCCTTTCCTTCTCTCCAACTGGTAAGGATTGCTGTTCCTTAGGAAAAGTACACACTCACCCACTCTGTAGAATCACAAGCACACACACATTTGTGGACAAGTGGCATGGCCCATCCGTGCCATACTCCTCCCTGGATCCTGGTCTCTCACCTGCTGTGCAGCCCTCCAGCTTGCTGGCTAGTCCAGTCTGATGCTCACTTCCAAAGAGATGTGTGCACTTTCATGCTTGTCTCACAGGCGCTTGTGTTCCCCCCCCAGATGCCAGCATGGACTCTCTGCCCACCTGATACCCCTGCCTCCACCTGGAGGCTCATGCTTGCTGGGTAGTTCACCTTGAAGTTTGCTAGCAAATTGCACACGCACTCCCCCATGGACGCGAGCTTCAGGGAAGATGCATGTGCTTGCCCCCAGTGGCTGGTACCAGGCACATGGGCTTGTAACCCACGTTTCTACGCTAGATCCTGGCACTGAGGCGCCCTGCTTTGCTTCACTCACCCTTACCATCCCACCAGCTGGTTTTTGGGACACCCACTGTTCTTGCTCGGGTGACTGAACACTAAGAGCTTTACCCACTCCAGCAGCTGGCACTGAGATGCCCTCTTGCTTCCGTTGCAGACACCACAGCACAAAGGGTGCCTATACTGACTACAGCTCCAGCTGTTGGCAGCAAGTCCAGTTGCTTCGAGCCCAACAGTAGCTGGCACTTTGGACACGAAGTCTGTGGTGCCCACAGAGGTGCTGCAAGAGGTGTGGCCTCTCCAACTAATGCTAAGACCCTTGTTCACTCCAGTTGCTGACCCCAAATCCACTCACTCCTGTCTTGTTAGCTGCACCTAGTCGACACTGCACTTGGATGCACAGGATAGAGAGTGAGGCTGCACAGAGAGGTGGCTAAGGGCAGACTGTAGGGATCAGGTGCCTAAGTTAATATAGTCCCACTGGCCTCCTTTGGATATCCGAAATCCTGGTGTTCCTCTTGTTTCCTCCTTGTCCCTCAGGTGGCCTTCTCCAAAGCTTTTCGTGTAGATTCTTCATGGCCCAAGAGTTAGAGACTGGAGACTTTGGTCTTTGCTATTGTTTCTGTTCCGTCTTGTCTACCAGGGTTGTTTCTCTCTGTTCCTGTTTTTTGCTTCCCCCTTTGCTTGTTATCCCCTTTTGCACTGAAAAGGTCCCTGATCACATAACACTAATGAAGCAGAGGTTCCACATTCCCTTACAGTGTTGTCTTGCAGAAAATAATGTGCCCTCTGTGCCTTCATCTTCCTCAAAGCAGCTGGAAAAAGAGGCTCTATAAAGAGAAGTATTCAGTTAGTCAGAGATGTAGGGAATGACATTTCATGGCCAAAATTATGATGGAAGCTTGAACAGTGTTTAGAACAACAAAAAGAAAGATCGATTAAATAGTACCTGTGGAATACTCTATGATACATGACTGCTAAAGATTTGAAGTATTTTTTTTCATAATTTTTGGGATGAAGATGCATCTTCAGAAGCTGGAATCTATGCACAACCCTCAACAGATATATTTTCGACAAGATGTTCTCTGTGAGACCCTGGCTGGCAACAGTTGTCCCTTAGTCACTATTACAGCCATGCCAGAATCCAATTATTATGAACATATCTGTCAGTTCAGTAAGTATGACTTTTCTTTCTCATCAACTGAAAATAATGTAAAACTAGCTCTTTATGAAAAAAAAAGAAAAGCTCTTTATAGAAATAGCAATATAAAATAAGTTTCATGGATTTCATGACATTAAGAGGCATCAATATTCAGGATTTGCTTTGTATTTAATAATATTTATTTGTGGTACTCAAATAAGGGTATTTATATCTTGACTATATAAGAGTGTATATATATTCATATATTTTAAATCAGTTGCTAGATATTTTTGTGTGTTAGATTTTGCAGACAATACTTCCTGGAAAAGAATACCTGACTTCTCCAAATACTTTTTTCTCCAAATGCTTAGGTTATTTGCTTGTCAAAAAATTCTTCATAAAGCTGATATCTAAACTGCTGCGACTTTAAGGGAGCTTTAGTTATGACAGCATTCCTAGTTTGTTCATCTACTCCAGTATTTTTCTTGGCTATTGGAAAAAAGCCATCAAAGTTGTCGTATCATAATTGCCAGCTCAAACTAGTAACTGTGTAATTGTCTGACTGAATTTAAAGTTCCATTGTGAGAGTTCTGTAATTATGAGTCCTAATAACGATATTCTGGTAAGCTCTGTCAATAATACCGATAGTAATACTCAACTCCCAAATACTGTACTTTGCATTGTAATGAATGAAGCTGGCAATCGCCCTTTTTTTTTTTTTTTTTTTTTTTTTTTTTTCCAATTAACAAACTGTTTACTTAGCTTACATCATGTTTTGCAACTTCTCTGCATACTTCTTTTAGGGAATCGTCCTTATGTTTTCCTGTCTGCTCGTGTGCATCCTGGAGAGACTAATGCAAGCTGGGTTATGAAGGGAACCCTGGAATACCTTATGAGCAATAATCCAAGTGCCCAATGTTTACGAGAGTCTTATATTTTCAAAATTATTCCCATGCTCAATCCAGATGGTGTCATCAATGGAAAGTAAGCATAAGTTTACTCAAGAATATATAACCTGTACCACTAAGTCTTTGCATCCGTTACTTAAAAAAAAAAAAAAGTCTAAACTAATCTGAGAAACACAGAAATGCAATAATTAACATGAAAAAAAATTACGAAATTGCTAGTATTTTTCCATTTTTTGGCTCTTTAAAGGCAGATGCATTGTTCCATGAATTTGAGTTTTATAAAAACTATTTTCAGTTGTTCGTGGATAGTAATCATTCCTATGTGATTTGACATGACATTTTAATTGTCTCTCTGAACTATAGTTTTGGATAGATGTAGAGAGTTATCTGAGAGCACAGCTGCTTTTAGGGAAAGCTAAACAAGTTCATGGCTCTCATGAGAAACAACAGTCCTTGTATCTGAGAGCTTTTTATGTATTTTTATCTTTTTTTTTTTTTGGTTATAGTTTTTAGAAGGATGTTATGGAAATGGCCGTTGTCAAGTGTTATTAAAAGGGGGAAGTTAATAGGTGTGCAAGAGGAAGGGTAAGAGAGTATCCTGATTTAATTGAATTATTAATAGTATTTGTTTCACTTACTACCGCTCTTAATGAATTTAAGGGATATTTCAGAACCTTTTGATACTGCTATGAGTAAACATTCAGCAGTCTTTATTTACTTGGTTACATGAAATTCGTATGATATGTAATTTTTGGTATGGTTAACCTACTATTTGTTCTTACATAGTTATAGGTAGTACTTTAAAAGGTTTTGTAAAGAAAATAATAAAAATCAAACCAATTACAGATTTGAGTAGAACCCTGTCTAGATATATGTAGAAGTATGTATATAACAGAACACCTGGAATTAAATGATTCAGAATACAAGGAAAGTTTAATACAGGGACAATTAAGAAATCTGTCCCAGCAGACCCAATCTAAAGACAGCTATACTGAAGATGACTGCATGAACATGAATTTCTGCAAGTTTAGAAGTTCTTGTCGATAGCTGACTGAACACAGAGATGGTCTTTATCTGTTTGCTGGGTTTTTTGGTTGTTTTTTTCTTTCTTGTTTTTCTCACAGCTACTTGTCTTCTAACAACTTCATGTTTCAAGTCGTAGATTTCTGGTTGACATTACTCTTTGTATTACACAAGTCAAGACACCAAAACTGTAAAGATACTATACATTGAAAATTACTGATTTTGCACTACCATTTGAATAGCATTGCAAGCCTTCAGTTTCAACAGAAATAAGCAAGATTACAGTTGACTTCATATAAGAAGCTACTTCTAATTTATTTTTAGGTTTTCTGTAACATAACTTAAAACCCCCGAAACACTTCTATTATTTGGCATGTTAGAAAACTGAAGTTTGTTTCTTACCAGACTCCTTCCAAAGAAGCAGTGGTGACGAGGAAAAGTTGAGGTGGGGGGGAGGCTTATTTAAAAGTATGGTAATACAGACTACATCATGCGTTTTTCCACCCCCCCACAATAGCCACCGTTGCTCTTTAAGTGGAGAAGATTTAAACAGACAGTGGCAAAATCCAAATCCAGATCTGCATCCCACTATTTACCATGCTAAAGGGTTACTGCAATATCTGGCTGCTATAAAACGTTTGCCTTTGGTGAGTACGTGTGTGTAAGCAATTCTGAATCTTTTTAACCTTGTCTGTGTAGCTAGTCTGTAAAGTAAACATTTTAATATGGTCTTGTAAACTGTGTCACACTTAAATTTGACTTGGAGAACTGGTATTCTGCAAACCTTTAGATCTAAATCTGTTTCCTTTGCTAGGGTAGAAGGTTAAACCTTCCTTAGATGAATCCTACGTTTTTTGTCTTAATGCACAAGTTAATTATATAAGAGTTGTGTTTCCTAATTCTTTGGAACTTTCAACAGTACAAATAAAATTTTTCATTTGTCCTTCTATTACTTCTAATAAAATGTTAATGCCATATGCCTTGGCTTTATTTTGCCGAATTATTTATTGTAGGTCTACTGCGATTATCATGGTCACTCTCGTAAAAAGAATGTATTTATGTATGGCTGCAGCATCAAAGAGACAATGTGGCACACTAATGTTAATGCTGCCTCTTGTGACGTAATGGAAGACCCTAGTTACAGGGTAAGCTTGACCTTCATACCTTTTTCACTTTGTGTGAATTTGGAATATACTTTTCAAATAACTTCCCAGTATTATTCTGCACACATAATGACTTTATAGCATAAGCAGACTTACTTAGAATTACCTCGTTTTAGTTCATGAGTGTCCTTCAAAGTATTTTGAGAGCTTTAAACATTGTACAGCTAGGGATTTAATGTTAGTAGTGTGCTTTATTTTTTGGGAGTCTTTGTACCAATACGTGCTTTCATGTGTTCCACATTACCGTTATAGTAAATACATGGAAAATATGCTTCTGTGCATTTATAATTACTAGATTTAAAAAAGAGTCATTTAAGAATGGCAAACAACATCCTAGCAACAAAAAAATAAAATTACTGAATTACTCTGAGAAATACACATTTTTATGTATGGAAATAGGCAAGGTTCCCCTTATAAAGATGTGTACTTACAGCATGTGCCCCTAATACAGATACATAATAAACTTGCACAAACAATATCTGCCTCATTGTGTGAGCTTTCAAAAATTCCAAATAATTACGTGTTACCTGTTTCTTCTGTGTAACTCCACTGCCGCCTTGTGGCAACTGCAAATCTGTGCAACCTAATGTGTCCAAAAATGATTTTTTGAGGAGACTGTTAAGCTTGAAAAGCATGTGAATGCAGGTTAAAACGTTTGTTATGCATCTGTGAGTGTAAATGGGTACAGATGCTTTCAGACTTTTTTTCTCAAATCTCCCTCATGTAAAAAAAAAATTCTCTCACTCCATGATTTTCTTGTGTGATTTCCTGGATGCTCAGTCCAGTCCATTCACGTCTGTCGCTCAGCGTGTTTATATGGTGTTTTGTCACTTCAGCCTGCACTACCATAGTGCACAAAAGACAACAGTCAATAAGAATTGTGGGGATAAGCCTTTTGATTTCAAAAAGGCTAACTGAAATGTTTTGGCAAGCTTACGCTAATAATGGTAAATGTACCACTGAAATAATACATTCAAAGTGGTCATGTGTTTTGGCTTAACTAATACAAATAAAAACTGGAAACAATGTAGTCATTTAGCATTAGTCAAATACATACATTTGTGTAACTGTCCAAACTTTTCCAAAGCTGTCAGGTAAACAGTTATGTTGAACTTTGATTCACATTCTTGAAGTTAAGTATGTACCTAGTGCTTTGCTGAATACAAATGGATTTTGTATATTCGTAAAATACTGTCAGTGTTAGGTGTGCAAATTGGATTGTTGAAACAGTCTGAAATGGAATTAAATTAATTAATTATATGGGGTACGTAGTACATGTAATTTGAGAAAAGTTAGTTCTGTGAATTAGGAGGAGATGGTGATCACCTGAAGAATTCTTCTGCTGATTCCTACCTACATGACCAACACTTGATTTCAGTGATTGAATCTGAAAAAGAGCATTTTCATAAGTAGGAAATGGCAACCCACTTAAACACATGGGGTTTTGAAAACTCCATATAGAGAAATGTTTTCATTCTTGTTCTTTTAATTTGAATTGCAGCAAAATTTTTTGGTAACAGTTTGTGAGTGCATTATTCCCCTCCCCCCGCCCCCGCTTCCGTAAGTGAGATGAAAGAATCTTCTCTGTATTTTTCAAATTGCGGTCTTGCAGGCACTCCCCAAGATCCTGAGTCAAACTGCCCCAGCATTCTGCATGGGCAGCTGCAGCTTTGTAGTGGAAAAGTCCAAAGAATCAACAGCACGAGTTGTTGTGTGGAGGGAGATAGGAGTACAGAGGAGCTACACAATGGAAAGCACGTTATGTGGATGTGACCAGGGCAAATATAAGGTAAGAAAATATGTCAGTTAAACTGTTCTTTTTTATAATTCCTTCCATTTGCATTGAACTACGCTTGCTTGCTTGCTTTAAACCTCTAAAACTCTCCTGAGGTTTGTGTACACTAATGTTAGAATGAAATTATATAATTTACAGTATTATAGGTTGCATAACAGCCTTCATTTGTCACTTGATGCTTTCACACATAGTATGTTATGCTTATTGGCTGCTTTTTACAAGATTAATGTTAATTATTGCTTGTAATGCGTACGTATGCATGTAGTTAAAAAAATCAGAATTTTTCTTTCTTGTAGATTATTAAAATTGGATAGTAATAAATGCTGATGCTAGAATAAAAGCTTCCTTTACACCTGACAATTTCAGACTTTACCATGGCAGTTTGCAGTTTTTCAGCACACATTTGGTAGTGTCCCTTACAGAATTTTCCTGTGTAACTGCAGAAACAGACTTATAAATCAAAACACTTTTATATCAGGTTACCAGAACTACAAATTGCACATCTCCGAACTCATCATAGCTGTTTGACTTCACAGTTGTTTGACTTCTTGACTTAAAACTTGTTTTCAATTTGTTTCTTTCAAAAGTGTGAACAGGGATGGATATTTGAAAACAGGTGACCCTGTTCATAGTTTCTCAGTAGTAGAAAATATTCATAACAGAAAAAAAGAACCACCACCCTGAATTCTGATCTTCAACTTCTGCCACTGCGTTAAATTTAGCTACAAATAGAAGCAAGGTTTTAAAATGAACATTCATGGAAGAAGTCATGGTTTCCTCTGCTTGAAAACAGAGTTTAGTAATGCTAATCAAGAAAATGACCACAAGCCTCAAATAAGGTGCTTGACAAAAAGAGGATTGGAATGCTGGAATCAAGGGGGAGGGGTGGGACAGGCCAGGACCAAAAAAAAAAAAAAAAAAGTTGGAGCCAGGTATATTTAATGTGTTAATGTATTCTCCAACACCCATGCTTATCTCCCTAGTCAGAAGGAAGTCAGATATTTCGGCAGGAATTTCAGTATGTCTGTGACTACTAAATGAACGAATTCTGTCAATTAACAAGAGAAGTGTTTCTGCTGTTGTCAGAATATTCTGTTATTCCTCAGATGACATCATTATAGAGCTTTAGAAAAAATGATAATTCATCCAACTTGCTTATTTTGAAACTTCCAGTATATTCTTAAACATGAACCTTCACGGCTTGAGCAGGTTTGCTACAGAAAGTCCTTAAGAAGGGTGAATTGAAGATATTTGTGTACAGACTTTGAAGATGCTTAACCTGCAAAGCTCTTCTTCAGTAAGGGAGGAAAAAAATGTCTGAATTCTGTTGAAAAATGACTTACTCAAAAGGGAAGAGCATTCTTCTATTTTATATGAATTAGCTGATGAGATCAAATTGCTGTTATGTCATACATTTTATTTGGAATAAAACAGTTTCTGAGGTGTTGGTCATCCTTTGAACATAGAGGACGATTCTTCACTTTTTTCTTCACTATAATGCTCAGACGTGTTAAGAAAATGTATCTAAAAGGCCAAGGTAGCTAGACAGAACAAGAAAACAGCAACATTTCTCCAACGAGAAGGTCGGAGAGATGAAAAGGCTCAGTCATTTTTTATTTTTTTTTTTCTGTGGAAGGAGCAGGGCCAGCAGCTCTGTGAATAAACTTGCTGTACAAATTAATGACATATTTCATGTTATTTCAAAACACAGATAGGAGTTAAACTGTAGAAATTCTCTCCCCTCCTACTTCCCACCCCCGAAGGACATGACAGTTCAGATCTGAGGGACTGGACTGTGTATCATGTAAAGGTCTGAAGCACTTGTCCAGTCTTTTTCTGGTTTGGCATCATCACTGAACTTTGTTCAAAGCACAAAGAGGATTACTCAACAGTTCTGTTCTTTGTGGAAGAAATGCTGAGTCTTTGCCAAAGCTGGATAATATCAGATCATCAATTTTTATTCTTTTTAATTTTACTCAGACAATGGTGATGCTAGACTATTCCAGCCAGGAAGCTGTTGAACTGAAGTTAGCAATTCTTACCTGAATTTAGGATCCCTGGTGACAGAGTTATCTCTGGAAGCAATCTTGTTTTAACTGCCTGCGTGGGGTCTTTGTAGTGCATTGAGAATTAGTGCTGCAAATACTGCTTAGTCATCTGTGATTCAGAATACTGAAAAGCAAAGTTCAGGTGAAAAGGTGCTCCAAGATCAACTATGGAGGACAATTAAGATGCCAGACAAAATAACAACTTCTGCAATAATTCAAACCACCTGAAAACTGAAATCAATCCCTTTTCTGATTGGAGATTAATAAATTTGGCAGTACTGCTTAATTTTTAAGTTAATAAAAAAGATTTTATCTGGCAATTTTGTGATGCACATGAAGAGAAGACTTCAGGAGAGAAGGATTCAGTCAACAAACTTTATAAGTTACCGTGATTCTTCAGTCTCTAGATTTTGAGTTCGCAAAAATGATCACATATTTGTAGCTTCTGCTGAATAAGAAAGCAGAAGAACAAGATGATGTTTTACTGTCCAGCTGACTTCTCCAAATCTTAGTATGGCTGTTTCCAATTTAAGTTCATACTGCAGGAGTGTTCTTCTCAACTTGAGGTCGCAGTCTGTTGTGCCTTTGTTTTGCATCTTTGCTTTCAGTTGGCAAAGTTCAACACTGAAACACTCTATTCATGTGAAGGTATTTTCATGTGTGTGAAGACTTGAACCAGCCACTTAAAATGTCTAGAAAAATGACAGTTGTATAAAATGTGAAGAGGAATGAAATCCAGTGCGTGCTTGAAAAAAAAAAAAAAAGCAGCTACTTCCAGGTAGCTTGTGCTTAAAAGCAATACTTGTTAACACGTGAGGAACTTCAGTAGGCCACAGTTAAAGGTAGTAGAGCAACAGTTGAAGGTGATTAGAAGATCAAGAAGAGGAGTGTAATCAAGGCTTCAGTAAAAATGAACTTCAGCTCAGGTTCCTTAGTTAGGGCAACCGTTTATTATTATTTCCTGAAACAGACTTTGGATCTCTTGTTTCATGGAAATTAAGAGATTTCACTGATAGAAGAATAACACTGGGTAAAGAAATTTGGTATTTGACAGCTGTGTGGTATTGCATCCTCCATTATGTTTTAAAGAAATGACAGAAGCAAATTGAGGCTTTGGCATGGGCTTTTTCTGCAAGTGTGTAAACCCTTCAGTATAGTAAGTTCAAACTTTATTGTCCAGGCATTTCCCAGTTGTCCACCTCCATCTGATCCACTTAGGTGTCTCTTTAGTTATATTGTCTTTCTGCTGTGCTGAAAATAGCAGCCACGGAACGTGCACACGCTATTTATCTTTCTAACAATTGTCTTTGCACTTTCTTTCATACTGTACTCTTGTCCTTTTTCGACTTAGAGCCACTCCTGTTGTACTTTCCATAAGGAATCTGCCGACTAACGATAAGTTCTTCAGCAACAGTTGTAGACGATTAGAAAAGTTTCTGAACCATCAAGTTGTGCACATTAGTAATCTGTGTAACAGTGAGATTACTGTTACCCTTCTCCTTCCTCTTCTGCGTACTTGTTGCCTCTTGTCCTTAATGTTATTTTAATCTCTTTGGGGCAGGGACTGTGTCTTCCTGTGATTAGCGTAGTGGAGCCCCATCTATGACTGGGGTCTTCGAATGTTACTGACGTGCAAACAAATACAAAAAAAACCCCCAAAATTGGCCTCTGGATCAGGTACTACACTGTGAGTGAGGAGAACTGATTTCTGTTCCCAGTGGGGTCAGTGACATGCTGTGGACACTGTGCAAATCGCTTCAGCCCTCTCTGCCTCCATTTCTCCATCAGTAAAGTGAGGATAATTCTTCCTTTATTATTAAAGTGCTTTGAAACCTACAGCTCAAAAGCATTATAAAAGAGGTAAGTAGTATTACTGTTAACAATAGCACTGAAATACCCAACTCTTGTTCACTGCTAACAGGTTTCTGTACCTTTTGGCTGGAGGATGGCACTGTTTAGAACAGTGAATATAGTATTTACTTTCTTGTTACTAAAAAATGCCTTGTTTATGAAGACTACAGAGAGAGAAAAAAAAAGAATTTGCAAGAAAAATAAGATTAAATGTTCCATTTATTAAGCGTGCATATGTTCAAGATGGTACATGAAGAATGCGTGGACTGTACCATTTCTAGAACAATATAGCACTTTCTTTTAAACCTTGCATTTTAAAATACAGGCTTAGTGTGGCAACATATACAAAGCTTATGTGTGTGTGCTTTAACTTTTAGTAAAGAAAAATTCCTACTCTATTCTTTTTGCTTCGTGTGTTTTCCTACTTGATGACTTAGCTTACCACCAATTCCTGGTTCTTCTGCTTCCCTGCTTGTTTTGTCAAAATCTACCATTTACCTTAAGAGGCTTAGAAGATCCAAACTAAAATCCATTTAAATTCCTCTGAGATATGGAAGTTGCAAATGGGGAGATTGAGTTGGGTTGTGACACTTAGTTCATTAGTGTATATACAGTCAGTACTACACAATACCTGAATTGTTGAGGGTCACTCTGGAATATCATTCTCTTTTTATAAAGTAGTTGAGGTCAGAGGTTCTGTCCCTACATACTGCACTGCTGGTAAATTAAAAGTGTATCTTATGGGAGGCTTTATCACATATGTAAACTTGTAGAATATTACCTAAATACTCTTTGCAGAGGAAAATGACTTGCTGTATCATTCGTATTGGTAGCCAGCTGTGAGTTTTGATACTTTGTTGTTTTCAGTGACTGAATGTGTGAATAAATGCTTTCAGAATTAACACATGTAGCCTCTTAACATGTAGGAGGGGAAGACATGTTTGTGTCAAGGAGTAACTTTGTTCCCTTACATAGTCTTATTTATTTGCCAGAACATAGCAATGAACTTGATCACAGCTACAATGTGAATTCACTCTTCTTTTTTTTTTTTTTTTTTTTTGGTGGAACCTCTGTTGGAAGAATCTTGAGTTTAGACTCTTAGTCTTTGGAATTCCTTTTTGTAAATTTTGTATCAGGTTGTTAAAGTAATTTATACTTATAAACTGGGACATGATTTCTGTCTCTTTTCCAATGCCATTGGGTCAAGTCTGATTCGTATTGATGTACTAGAAGTGTAGACTGGGAAGCTCCAAAGAAATGTGGATGTGTCCAGAAATACCTGTTCAGCCTCAGAGGAACCATGTAGTTACTCTCTGAGTTTTCTCTGATACTCTTGCTAAGTGTTTACATTTTTTTTTTCTTATTTGCGCTATCTTTAGAGCAAGAGAATGTATTAAATAACGAAACGTGTTTTAAATAGTAATTCTGCGGTATGTGTGTGTCCATGTCTATGTACTTACTTTGTATTTTTAAATCTTATTTTTAAATTAGGGATTGCAGATAGGGACAAGAGAACTGGAGGAGATGGGAGCAAAGTTCTGTGTTGGCTTACTGCGTTTAAAAAGGATGGCCTCACCTTTGGAATACAATCTGCATTCTAGTCTGTTGGATATTGAAAATGAGCTGATTGAGTCAAGCTGTAAAGTGACAAGGTAGTATACATTTATTATATTTACTTTCTTTTATTCACAAAAAATTGCAATTTTTCAAGTGTTATAAAGATTCTCTCAAAAATATTCTTCCACTCGTCAAAAATAATATTGATGTGTTGTGACCTGTTAGTGTAACAGTAATCTGAATATATTTGAGACCTATTGTTTTAATTCAATTGCTTCAAACTTCAAACAAAGAAAACAAGAAATACAGAGTTCGACTATATGTCACATTTGTGCTGGGATGAACACTGGCAATTTTAATGTCATCGGGGAGTTATATGCAGTAAAACTTAGTAGGTCTTAAGTCTCCATTGTCTCTTTGAGATCATTCTTTCTTTTTTTATTACTGGCTGCGGTATTAAAAACGTATTTAGACAGACTTAAAGTACTGTAAGTTTTTCATCAAAACTTTTTTTCTTTTTTCCCCTCTGGTAGGGGTATGTAACATTTAAAGAATTTAAAATGTGTGAAATAATGTTTGGGTCACAAAAGAAATGTATTAATAAGCTAGGGTATTAAGTTGCCAATTCTTAAAACTCTAGGTAGGCTTGCAAAAATATGCATACTCTTACATATTTCCTTTCCTGTATTTCATCAGTGAAGTATCCACATGAACATGGTAATTGGGGATGCACAGCAAATGTACAAACATCTCTTTCTGAAAATCTGGTTAGAGATTAAATAAAGCAGAGTTCCAGATTTCAGAAAAACATTAAATGAGCAGAGTAAAATTTGCACAATATAATATTTTGCCGCTTGGCGTACTTAGAGCTGAAAATGTATTTATAGTAGGCTGTAGTCTGACTGAGCTAAAGCAATACTGTGGAAATTTGGGGAAAAAATTAAATTTATTATTGTTTTTGTTCAACTGAAACAAGGAGGTGCTTGAGACTGAGACTTTCATGAGCTGCTGGATTAAAGAGCAATTTGTCTGTAGACCACGCAAAACTAGCAGAGATGTGGGGGGGCATTTTTGGTACCCTGTGGAAGGGGGAGATGATGTTTAGTTCCATCATTTAAACACTTAAGTGTTATCAGTGTTATATTACATTTACAAATAGTAATAAAAAGTGTTAAGCTGAAAGGTAATAAGAACAATAGGAGAGTGTTTTAAAAGTGTATAAAGAGTAACTGTGATGTGTAGATATCTGTCCCTTTAGCGATGGCTGGATTCCCCAGTATCATTTACTCACTAGTACAGCATTAGCATGCTTGTAATTGCTGGATTTTTACTATAGATCAAGTTTTGTGCTTGGGTAAAGATGAGTTAGTGATTCTTGGAAGAGACGGGATCAGAAGGGGGCTTTGGAGTAACCCACCCTCACTAATGTGTGATCCTTGCTGAAGTATAGGTAGCAGAGAGGGTCATATGGCAGATGCTGAAAAAAGCAGAAAGTGCTCTACAACTGTTGGAATGGCATTAGCATGGTGTCTGCAGTGCAGGCAAAACATAGCATTTTAATCACTAAGAATGCCTTGGTGTTGTTTACTGTACTAATGCAACATTGATACCAAAACAATGATAGCAGTAAACAGCAGTGCTCAACATTTGTAATGTTGCTGTTCAGTGTATCACTCTAAATTTTCATTTAGTGTTGTATGAATACAGTCAGGCTTGCAAGACATAGTTTGAAAGTATAAATAAAATATTAGTGTCCTTGTTTTTGCAAGTGTAAAACCATATTCTGCTATCTCTATAGTTTAAAAAAGACGGGGGGAGGCGGGCGTGTAAGCCGTAAATAATGGTCTTGAACTCTTTTTCTTTTATTCCTTTCCTAGTTTGAAAAGCTGGCCATTAGAATGAATTAATATTATCTGATTTGCTCTAAAAAGTCTCTTGCTTGTTCATTTTTGTAGCATAGTAGTTTAATGAGCAATACTACAGGGAGATTAGCACAGAAAATCTGCTTCCACTGTTGTTATGCTGGGGGCTGAGATAATTGATCATCAGGTAACTATGGAAAGCAGTTATCTTGTCCTAGGTTTTTGAAATAGGCAAACAGATTCAGTGGCTTTTGTTTCATGGACAGGGATCAGGCTAAGGTGAAAAAAGTTGAATTGCTTATATATTGTTATATGTGTGTGACCAGGGATTCTGGATGTGTTTCATCTGAAGGTAATCTGTTTAGGATTCTTCTTAAATATATGAGGAGCTTACTACTGATAGACATTTCAGTTGTTCTTTGGGATGAGATGTAAGTGTTGACAAAAGAGACCAAAACTTGAGAAGTGAAAAATGTTAACTGCTAAGGAAGTGTGTAGATGCTTGAAAAAAGTTCTATAGCACCCCTCAGATAGATATATTCCTTGAAATAAAGCTGAGGAGCACAGGGCAATATTTTGTAAAGCTCTTGAGAGAAATCACTAGATGGAATTTCATCTTTATGACAGAGGAATTCTTACTACAGCAAATAAAATTTATTGTTTTGATTACAGCTTTTGTCACAAGGCCTTTATCAAAATGAAAAGAAATTTAGGAGATGGAGAAGGAGGAAAGAACATGACAGCTGCCTTCAAATACAAGAAGACAGATGCAAAGTGTGTGTTCTCCCTAGGGCAGACAGGACCAGGCTTCAAATTACAAGGAAAAGTCAGTCTAGACTTTGGGTAAAATTTCTGTATGGCAAGCAAATATGAAGTTCTGGGGTATTCATCTAGGGAAGCTGCAGAGTCTCCGCAGGAGATCAAGAATAGCGTAGACAGGCTTCGGTCTAGACTGGCAGTGGGGACAGCTGAATTAGCCTTAGTGCACAGAGGTACTGTGAGAAACTTCTTCACTAAGTACCGTACTTAAAATAAATCATTTATTCATAAATACTGAATAGTTAAAAGTCACTTTGAGTCTCTTCTTTAAAGCATTGCTTTACAGCATTCTCTCAAGCATGTAAGCCTATGAGGGACCATATGGAAAAAACCCAGACCCTTTCAGGGAAATCAGCATGCTGGGGTGCCTCTGTGAAGTGCCTGCACACTAAATGCGTGCAGCATGGGGAATGAATACGAGGAACTAAAAACCTGTGTGCAGTTGCAGGGCTGTGATCTTGTTGAGATCATGGAGGCATGATGAGATGGCTTACACAGCTGGAGTGCTGCAGTGGAAGGATACAGGCTCTCTTGATAAAGGTAGACAGTTAAGATGAAGACGGGCTGTTGCCCTCTGAGAGGGCAGCTGGAATGCATGAAGGTCTGCCTGGGGATGAATGATGAGCCAGCTGAGAGCTTATGGGTGAGGATTAAAGAGCAGATGCCTCTGCATGACATGATAGTGGGTATCTGCTGCAGGCTGCTTGATTAGGAAGAACAAATAGATCAGGCCTTCTACAGACAGAAGCAGCCTCGTGTTCGCAAGCCCTGGTCCTTGTAGGGGACTTCAATCACTCCAATATCTGCTAGAGGAACAACACAACAGGGCATAAACAATCCAGGAGCTTCGTGGAGAGCACTGATGATAGCTTCTGGACCTAAGTGATACAAGAACCAATAGGGAGAGGTGCTGTGCTGGATCTGGTACTTACAAACAAAGATGTGCTGGTTGGGATTTGAACATTGAAAGCAACCTTGGCTGCAGTGACCATGAGATGATGGAGTTCAGGCTCCCAAGAGGAGGGAGCAGGGCAAAGATCACAACCCTGGAACTGAGGAGAGCACACTTCAGTCTCTTCAGGGATCTGCTTGGAAGAGTCCCGTGGAATAAGACCCTAGAGAGAAGAGGGGCCCAAGAAAGCTGGTGAATATTCAAGGACTACATCCTCCAAGCTTAAGAGCGGTCCATTTCCATGAGCAGAAACTTAAGCAAAAATGCCAGGAAGCCTGTATGGATGAATGAAGAGCTCCTGATAAAACTCAAACACATAAAGGGAATACATAGAAGGTGGAAGCAGAGACAGGTAACCTGGGAGGAATAGAGGCACTGTCTGGGTATGCAGAGACATGGTTAGGAAAGATAAAGTCCACCTGGAGTTGAATCTGGCATGGGATGTCAAAGGCAACAAGAAGGCCTCCTAGAAGTATGTAAGACTAGTGAAAATATGGAACCACCACTGAATGGGGCAGGAGCCCTGTTGACACAGGACATGGAAAAGGCCGAGGTACTGAATGCCTTCTTCGCCTTAGTCTTTAGTAACAAGTCCAGCTTTCAGTAATCTAAGGACCCAGAGACTGGGGAAGGTCTGGAGCAAGGAAGAATTACCTCTGGTGAAAGAGGAACATGTTGGAGAATACTTAAGCAGACAGGACTTAATGTTTAATTCCGTAGGTCCTGATGAGATGCACCCACAAGTGCTAAGGGAGCTTGCTGGTGTCACTGCAAGGCCACTTTCAATAATCTTTGAATGATCATGGTGATTGGGACGGGTGCCTGAAGACTCGAGGAAAGCCAATGACATTCCTGTCTTCAAGAGGAGCAAGAAGGAGGACCGAGGGAACTATAGGCTGGTCAGCCTCACCTTGATCCCTGGGAAGGTGATGAAACAACTAACCCCAGAAAGCATTTCCAGCCATATGAAGGAGGAGGAGATCATGAGTAATCAACATGGATTCACTAAGGGAAGTAATGCTTGGCCAACCGGATAACCTTCTACAATGAAATGACTGGCTTGGTAGACAGGGGGATGAAGTTGATATTGTCTGCCTTGACTTCAGTAAGATTTTGGACACCATCTGCCATAGGATCCTTATAGAGAAGCTGATGAAATATGGGCTGGATGGGCAGACAGTGAGGTGGATTGAAAACTGTCTGAACAACTGGGCCCAGAGTGTGGTGATCAGAAGCACAAAGTCTAAATGGAGGCCAGTGACTAGCAGTGTACCCCAGGGCACAACACTGGGTCCGCTCTTGTTTAACATCTGCATTAATGACCTGGATGATGGGGCAGAGTGTACCCTCAGCAAGTTACCAGATGATGCTGGACTAGGAATGGCTGATCCAGGGGGGCCTTGACAGGCCATAAAAATGGGCTGACAGGAATCTCATGAAGTTCAGCAAGAAGTGTGAAGTC